CACTTGGACGTATTAGAGCATCGCCTCGCCTCAATAGCCGAGCACATACGCCACTGGGCACGCTGCCGACTGCTGCGTGCTGCTGTGGGAGGAGGGGCGGGACCGGCAGCGGGGCTCAGCGGGTCCTGGAATGGAGGGTACCCTCTCGCATTAGGACACAGCCACACACACCCTCTCAGCATCACTCACACACACACACACACACACGCGCGCGCGCGCGCGCGCATACAGCCGTTCACGACCACACATCCCACATGTTGTTTTGGCCCGCCATCATGGGCCCAGTTAAGCGCACTGGGGCTGCTGCAACCAGTATGGGCCCTTGCCCCCGCATGGCGATGGGAGGGGGGGGGGAATCATTTGGGACCTCTGCGGCCACACCATCAACCCGGGCACCACCAGCAGGGCACTGAGAGACGGGCTAAAAATAATAGCGGGAAGAAAAAGAGAGAGACCGAGACCGAGAGGCAGAAAGACGGAGACACACACAGCGAGGGAGAGAGAGAGAGAAAGAGAGTCAACAGCCTCCATCACGCGACCGAGTGCCGATAAGAGGCTGTGCGGCTCGCCGTGCTGCTGCTCCTGGACCCCACTCTGCTGTGCCGCTGCGTAAGCAGCCTCTGCCGGGGCGGAGCGTCGCCGCCGTCGCGCCGCGGGTGTCGCAGTGTCGAAGCGACTGCTAAAGCGACAGCCAACCGCGACACAAAATTACACAGCCGCGGCCTGCACTCATGCTGTTCGCGGGGCGGGCGCGGTCTCATTTTGTTATTAGCGCGCTAGCGTGCGTCATGGGGACACTCTGTCTCTCTCTCTCTCCCGCACCTCACACAGACGCTCACTCACACAGACGCGAGCCTGACAAGTCGTCGTCGCCGGGGCGGGCGCGGGCCGGGCGGGCAATAGGACCGGTCGCCTTGCCCGGTCCCTGTGCGTGGGAACGCCACGACGCCGGACGCACGGAGAGAACTACGAATCACCACGTACCACACTTTACAGATCTTGGTGCGTGTCGTGGCGGGATGGGGTGTGGTGCTGTGTGGTGCTAGTGTGGCGGGGCGGGGCGGGTCAGGGCGTGGCGTGGCTGGGCTATGGGCCGGGCTATGGGGGACTCCCAGACGGGAGAACGCCTCCGCACTCGCGCCGTACGCACCACGCCCGCGGTGCTACAGAGCACGCCCTCGGTGCATCCGTCCGAGCCGTCGCGCCGACGCTTCCTGCTCCGCCCGCTGCGCCTGGCGTCCTGCTGGAGCCGTCTCTCCAGGGGGTACTGCTTCCTCCAGGAGGACCTGCCCGGGGCTCGCCGTCCCGTGAGAGACCATCCTCGCGCCGCGCGCGGGGTCATCACTCACCGGGTGCCGCCGCGGCGTGCGGTGAGCAGTGCGTGGTGAGCCGGTGGTGAGGCCGCGCGGTGAGCCGCATCGGGATGCCGCTGCAACGCCCGCAGGGCTCCAGAGATGCTGTGCATAACGGGACCCATATAACCCCCTGGAGCCCTTTCGCTGCCCGTCGGCCCAGGCAGGTGTAGTGTGCCATGCGTGTGTGTGAGTGTGAGTGTGTAAGTTGAATGTGTGTTCGGGTAAGAGGATGGCCAACGGCGAAAGTGTATGTAGCCGGTGAATAAGAATGCTTCCCCCCTCTCCCACAGCCCGCCCCCTCTTTCCACACCGGTTCCGCGTGGGCGTTAGAAGTGTGAGTTTTGCGGGCCCGTCGTACACCCTGTTCGTCTTGCATTCTGCGTTCTGTTGTCGTCTGCTAGTGTCTCTAACGTGCCGCTTCCTCTGTGTGTTGCAGGTTCTCTTGCGCCTCGTGCCCGCTGCAGGTGAGACGCAGCAGGACGTTGGTGCAGTACGTACACGTTGAGCCGCAAGCTGTCAGTCCAGCTCCCCGAAGACGATTTATGCGGCCACTCGGAGTTCTCTCCGTCCTCGCGGCTGACCTAGAGCGAGGCGAGGCGGGACGGAAGTAGTATCCGCGGAGGACTCTTCTTGTGAAGGCGCGGCGGCGCGCGCGGGTCCGCTCTGGGGGTGACCAGAGCAGCCAGGCTCCAGGCTCCGGGGGAAGCAGCTATGGCCGTGGACCAGTCAGGAAAAAGATCGACCCGGCTGGCGTCCACCGCAAACGTGCAGCGTATACATACATGAAGCTAGCCGATGCACCGATGCTGAAACATACTCCACGCGACACCTATGGAAGCTAACGCAGGGCAGGCGTGCGGGCGTATACCGGGTGATTCAGAGAAGACGCAGGTGCGCGCGGGTCTGCCTACCTAAAGGGCCATGGCGCCTTGTGCTTTACGCGCGGGTAGAGCGAGTGGTGGGCAAACTCACACGCACCTGCGGGTTCTCCGAATCACCTTTGGTAACACAGAGGCCCGTTTTGATGGCCCCGAGCGGGTAGGCCACCCGGTCACACGCGTGCATACGGTGTAGAGTGTAACCAGAGGTCTTGCTTCTTCAGCCAGGCCTCGGCTGTGCTACATACGTACGTCGTGCGGTGCGATGGAAGGTTGGTTGCCTGAGAGCCCCCCCCCCTCCCCTCCCCCGCAGGCCACGGCTTAGAGGTAGGCAGAGCGACTTGCACCACAGTGTAGATCGTGCCTCGATCGTGGCTCGTTCTGCGCTGTGCAGCGCCGCGCTTGCTCCTGACAGGGGGGCGCCCTGCACCGCTGGCGCCCGCGGCCCTCCCGCTGCCCGTCGCCGGGACACATGCACTCCCCGCCGCTGCTGCCTGCACTGCCGCCTGCACTAAGCCTGCACCGCTTGCACCACGCGTTCGTATACGCGCTGCGCTGCTTGTCCTCCCCCATTGGTCTCCGCTCCGCCGCCGTGCCGTGCTCGCTCGAATCTGGAACACTGCGGGTCGAGCGGCGTTGAGCTATCCGCGATTGAACGGGCTTTATGGTCGTGAGCGGGCAGAGTGTTTCCCTACCCCCGCCCCCTCCCCCTCCCCTCTTCGTTCTCCATTTATTCCGTCGCTTTACGACGTGCCGACGCCGGTAATGCAAGGCACCCCACCCTGTTATGAGAAATGCGGGTTATTTTCTGACTCGGGGCGGGCGAGGGGAGGGAAGTCCAGCGCGGAGAGGCGCCGGCTGAGCCGACTTAGCTGAAAGGGAAACCTTACAACAACAGATTACATCGTGCTGGCTGCCTCTCTGGGGGCGGCGTTGTGCAGGCAGCGCGACTCGGCGACTGCTTTTCCGAAACTTTGAGACGGCGATGAGTTGAAAGCGAGCCGAGCCGCGGGGTGGGGCGGCGGGCGGGGAGCGCTGTGGGCCTCCATGCTCCGTGTTTATCTCAATGGCGGGTACGGGACGGGCGGGTACTGCCTGGCGCTTAGCGGCCGAGCCCAAGCCGAGCCCAAAGCCGAGCCCCTGGCGATCCGCAGGCTTATATCCACTTCATCATTGAGTTCTGAGCGGTATGGCGGATTTCACGACGCGCGACACCTAACTGCGAATACGGTGCTGCGGTGTACAAGTAGAGACTTGGTGAGCCATCGCGCGGCATTTCGAGGCAGTATTATACCAAGTAAACGATAGGTACTTCGTTCAATGTCAGCAAAATTACTGTTTTCATTTTAATTCAGGTAAAATTTGACTGAAAATCTGAAGCAACAAGCGGTTAGCCGGTCCTTGTA